CAAAATAATTGAATAATTTATTATTGTGGATCGGTATATTGCAATGATTATTATGTGCTTATGTGAAGCCCAGTACAATTTTTTATTTTATTGTAAGAGCACTGCCCACATGATACTTGTTGTGCTTAACCACATACCAAAACAAAATCAAATGCAAGCGGGTAAGTACCACTATATGGGCTACATCGCATGGCGACGGTTTACCAAACGCGATCTCCCTCGACGCCCTCGCTGGCTTGCTGGACGTTGGCCCCAAAGGCGGGCGTGTAGCTGCATCAACCGCTAAGAGTTGCGTGAGCAATATGTTAGTAAATATCAGTTCAAACGCAAATACAAACGTGGATTACTATCTCTCCGCCAGTCCGCCTGTGGTTGTTTCTTGGACGGTCAATTCTTCTTCGTCGCAACCTTCTTCACCTTGGTTTTCGTCGCTGACCTGGAGGGATATATTCCTAGCGCCCTTCTTCTGCATTCTATCGGCTTCTCACGCTGCATTCGCAATGGAGAATGAGAGGCTGAAAATCATTTGTGGGGAATCGCACTGAGTAGAATGGACCTAGCGAACTTTCAAGTTACAACGAAATTTATACAGTAAATAAAACGTCGATAAATTACGAAGCAACGTAATGAGCTGTTGTGTTGCTCTCAGCCCAATATCGCTACGTTGAAGTTGTGTTGCAGAAATGACGCCGGTCCTTTGCAGGATAGCTGCTCCCACTTTGCTTCCTTTGTGGCCTTCTTGCCATCCTGGCAGTGGCAGTTGGTAATCTGCTGTGTAGGCGATAAACAGGTAATTGTGTGAACTGACGTGCCGGTATTGCGTGGGAAACGGAGTCAAGCCACGTCAAACCGCCCAGCAAACTAATCTGCCAGTATTGTGCGAGTTAACGGGCCTTTCAAACAAATCTTCAAGATAGCGGACCATCAGAAACAGATGACATCGTACTGACCAATCACAAGCAGCGCTTGGCTCGGAACGAGACTTACACACACATCCATCTACAAATGAACTCTCAAGTTTACTTACATGTAGTCCTCACATTTCAAACGACTCCTCGAAACCTGCCAAAAAAAAATCAACATCCGCGCCAGCTTCAGCCCGGTTCCTGAGAGGCGTACCGGAAACGCGATTGGAGAGAGCACGCAAAGTGAGCAGACGATTCTGGGAGCCATGAAGACGCTGCGCGAAAGGTTTGGAAAGAAAACTGGTGTGCGATCGGGTTACAAGATGAGAACTTCATTAACGATGGATCCTTTTTATTTGGTGCTAAGTTTAGCACCGACTCAAGATCCACTGCACCAAGTGAAGGAAGGGCCTCGCCACGCACAGAGTTGACAAACTTGATGACAGCGACCTACACGACCGGTGGTTCGCAATCCACGGCTACTATCGATTCACGGCTGCCGAAGCAGCAGAAGCTTGCGCTGCGCTGAAAAACAAACTGGAGCGCGAAAAGAAGGGAAGTCGGTAATATGGACGCCATCATCGGATGGAGCCTTTCAAGCTGTCCGCTTGCGAAAGATGCTGATGGCGACGGTGTATCGCGCCGATAAAGGAATGAACGCACGCGTGGATTTAGAGGAGCGCCTAGCCGGGTTGGAATCACAGCGTCGGCAAGATCATACTCATATGCGGTGAGAGATGTAGCGTCTTTAGAAGAACGTGGAGGCCGCAACAATTTCGTGTCTCCGGGAACAGTTCGCGCTCATTCAAGACAATAATGCGCGCTTAGAGCAGAACAAAGTAGTGATGGTGCCGGCCACCGACGTGAATCGAGCACGGCTTGGAAATAACTCCCTAGGGGCTCACATATCAAAGCTCAAGACAGTATGACACGTGCTTTGATTGCGCTGCCATCTCGTGACGTAAGGGTGAACGAAACGATTGAGTCTTGCGTTAAACAAATAATCGAGGACATGAGCAAGAATATACGCAAGCAGCATCACTCATGCTGCGACAACAACACAGTCATACCGAAAGAGCTCAAGCGGATTGTTAGAACTAACCAGAGCGGCACCAGATTGAAATATAGCTCTGATACTATCAAGAACTACGCACGTTCGAAGCAAAGCGGTTTAGAGCTACATCTGGTTTTGAGCGGAGAGTGAAAATAAAATTCAGAGAACAAATGTTTAAGTGGGGAAACCATGAACAGGAAGCTCAATGTTATTAATAAGTGCCGGCTGGCAGCTTCAATGTGTTATACATGTCAAATGAAAGAAGTGGCTGGAACATGACAAATGCGCACTTCGCAATAAGCGTTTGGCTCAAGTGGTCCAGAGCTCACCTCCAACGGCCTCTTCGGGGGATTTTTATTTCTCGGTAGCAGTGTCCCCCCAGAGTTGGGACGAGAATAAGAGATGGGGAGACGGGAACCCTGCGTTTAATAATCAGAAAACATCTGACAGTCTTCCGGTGATTAAACTTGAGAGGTAGTCAAACGGTGACTTCGTATTTTAGACACAGATGACTTTAGTTATAACTGACCTTGGAATTATACAACCCAGATATTATGGAGAAGGTGGATAAGGAAGGCTAGCAAACGAGTTATCTCTCTTTGGCTACCTTAATTGCTGTCATGATTGGTGGTTTTGCATTGTCCTCTGACACAACCTGCTATCAACACACGTTCACGAAACAGCATCCTCTATATTTCAATCTTGGTTGAACAGAGTCTTTATCAACCTCTGTAGGTCATCCAACGTTATTTTACGATCACAAGTCCAGCACTAAACTACATGCACTTCATAGCAATGATTTAAGCCTGCCCGCGCAGCGCTTCATGGCTCAGCAGAGCACCTAAATAATCCAACATGTGCTGGAATCGCCACTACAGAGATCAACTGCATCAAAAATGATAGATATCTACGTCAGCGGCCATTGCTGAGTATATCACCGTCACAGGAATAACTTTCCAACTTCTTCGACGGTTAGTCATTAGTGTAGATAGGTTGTAGTTCGGTGTTCTAATGTTTGATAGTAGCATTTGACATCTACTAACGTAGAGATTGGCTTGGTGAAATGGTGGTATCAAGCCAAACATCGCGTACTTGCATAATACAATAAACTCGCACTAGTACCTTGGAATAATTCGAAACAAACAAACACACAAACAAGTATGGTGTAGAGTTAACGCTCGCTAACGTCCGAATGCGAAGTGAGCACCTCTTCAAACACGGTGCATATGGCTTCAGTAGTGCATAAGAACACGAGAATGGCAAAATGAACAGCAATAGCAGCGCTATGAAACAATTCATCGAGGACCTTATCTTGCCATGCCATACCAGGCTGATGTAAACTTTATGCAGGCAGAATTGCTCTTGTTCGTGAGACGATCGCTGTGTAATAGCTGTAATCACTGCAATAACTTATTCGTACC